ATATCTGTTTTACCATTTTTGAAATAAAAACACTTTATGCATCTTGTCTCCCCATTTGAAAAAGTGCTAAGTATTTGGACAAATTCACCTATGCCTATCTATAGTGTATAGGCAAAAGTGTAGTTTTTGGTCCAATATTCCTAGCATGCAATGACTTCATCAAGCTTGTGACTCTACAAACTTGTTGGATGTATTTGCAGTTTATTTTGGTTGTGTTTCTTCAAGTGCAGTCGCAAAAACCATAAATGCTATTATGAAACTGGCTCTCATGAGGCCCGCCACAGGAATGGAAGACCCAGAGTTACCTCTGCTGCAGAGGATAAGTTAATTAGAGTTACCAGCCTCAGAAATTGCAGCCCAAATAAATGCAAATAGACACATATCAACATCAACTGTGTGAATCAGGCCTTCATGGTCGAATTACTGCAAAGAAACCACTACTAAAGGACACCAATAATAAGAAGGGACCTGCTTGGGCCAAGAAACACGAACCATGGACATTAGACCGGTGGAAATGTGTCCTTTGGTCTGGAGTCCAAATGTGAGATTTTTGGTTCCAACCACTGTCTTTGTGAGACGCGGTGTGGGTGAACGGATGATATCTGCATGTGTAGATCTCCTGAGTGGACGCAGTGGTCTAGGGCACTGCATCGCAGTGCTAGCTGTGCCACTAGAGATCCTGGTTCGATTCCAGGCTCTGTCGCAGCCGGCCGCGACCGGGAGACTCATGGGCAGCGCACAATTGGCCTAGCGTTACCCAGGGTAGGGGAGGGAATGGCCGGCAGGGATGTAGCTCAGTTGATAGAGCATGGCGTTTGCAACGCCAGGGTTGTGGGTTCGATTCCCACGGGGGACCAGTATGAAAAAGAAAAAAAAAAGGTATTCACTAACTGTAAGTCGCTCTGGATAAGAGCGTCTGCTAAATGACTAAAATGTAAATGTAGTTCCCACCGTAAAGCATGGAGGGGGAGGTGTTATGGTGTGTGGGTGCTTTGCTGGTGACACTGTCTGTGATTTATTTAGAATTCAAGGCACACTTAACCCGCATGGCTACCACAGCATTCTGCAGCGATACGCCATCCCATCTGGTTTGGGCTTAGTGGGACTATCATTTGTTTTTCAACAGGACAATGACCCAACACACCTCCAGGCTGTGTAAGGGCTATTTTACCAAGAAGGAGAGTGATGGAGTGCTGCATCAGATGACCTGTTCTCCATAATCCCCCGACCTCAACCCAATTGAGATGGTTTGGGATGAGTCGGACGGCAGAGTGAAGGAAAAGCAGCAAACAAGTGCTTTTTTGGTTACTACATGATTCCATATGGGTTATTTCATAGTTTTGATGTCTTGACTACTATTCTACAATGTAGAAAATAGTAAAAATAAAGAAAAACCCTTGAATGAGTAGGTGTTTCCAAACCTTTGACTGGTACTGTACAATAAAAGTGACTCCAAAATGACAATACATTATTCAACTCCTATTGGGCAAAATAGAATAATATGCCATTTAGCAGACGCTTTTATCCAAAGCGACTTACAGTCATGTGTGCATAAATTTTTACGTATGGGTGGTCCCGGGGTTCGAACCCACTACCCTGGCATTACAAGCGCCATGCTCTACCAATTGAGCTACAGAGGACCACAAATATAATCCAAAACAAACTGCAAATGCATCCAACAAGTTTGTAGGGTCACAAGCTTGATGTAGTCATTGCGTGCAAGGAATATGGGACCAAATACTACACTTTTGACTACTTTAATACACTATAAGTTAATTTTTTCAAATACTTATGACTTCTTCAAAATAGGGTGACTAGACACATGAAATGTTTTCATTTCTAAACGGTAGAACAGATATGTATGAAAATACCTTCAAATAAAAGGTGACATTCTGTACTGTCACCTCATATGAAACATTTGATCTCAAATCCAAAATACTGGAATATAGAGCCACATTTCTAAGTTTAGCCTCACTGTCCAAATGGAAGTGAGTGTATGTTTTTTTCTGAGCACCTTAAATAACCTCTTATAGCTGCTATCGCGATGTCTAATGATTTTATTCTATGTAGAGTTTCATTCCATTTAAAGCTGCCTGTGTTGACTTTTTCATGTCTTAAAAAGAATCACCCTATTATTATATACCTGTTTGTAGCCTCAAGATCCATCCATCCTCACCTGTATGACAGGAGTTTATTAATTTCGGCTCCAAATGAAACATTGCATTTATCAATGACAGATGGAGTAGAGGAGGGCATGTAAGGTAAGAGATCTCTCCTATGTGGGGTACGTGACAGATTGTACTATGTTGTTGCTTCCTCTTTATCCATTAATCACACTTTGAGTTGCTTTGGCTGGTGAAAGTGGGTGTTTCTGCACATCTATTCCCTCCCATCCAAACACACATACACACACACACACACCCTCTTGCTTCAGAAATGTGCCATATCACTGCTTTAGGCCATTCTGGCCTGAACTTGAACCTGCAGTGCTAGATGTTAGGTTCTCTAGTGACTAGACAGTACCTGTGGCCAAACTCATTGAAATTATATGTGACCAGCCAAGATTTCTCATATTCAGAATATCAGACTGTAGATTATAATTGGTAATTGCTGAATTTGTAAAAACAAAAGATGGATGGTTACAGCTGTAAAGCTTTAATAACATATGAAAGGAGCCGTGTTTGTGAATTGTTTGTTGGTTGAAAACATATTGTAAACACTACAATCCGTCTGAGAGGATTACAATGGTTAGACCTACTATAATTTTTCATACTGGCACGCAGCTAAGGCTTGATTAAATACACAGGAAGGTCTACTTTTGTTGCAGTAAAATGCACTCGTGGCCTCTGTATCCTTATTAGCATGACTTTTTAGGAATTCAGCCAGAATAGTTAATACTTTTAAGGGAATTGAATGTGCATTCCTATAACATTTATTTTACGTCAATGCCATTGTTGGTGACAAGCATTTGTTGGTTTGTGGTTCATCTACATCTGTGTTGTGACTTCCTCCCCTGAAAGAGACAGAAACATTGTCCCCGTATCACCTCTTCATTCTGTTCGTAAATCAAGCTGTCCTGGCGAAAGACGTTCATCCAACTCAGCATGTAGTCCATCATATTTCCAGCCTCACCTGATGGCAATCACATTACCAAAGTGCTATACTACCTACGCTCCGACAGTATGAATGATCATCTGTATTGTGCAGACACGAGACTGCCTGATTGGATTATAGTAACACCTCTGTTGTTATTGTGTTGTCACTGTCCATGTGTCAACTCTGAGCATCACAGATCAGAAGTTTCTCTTTTCTCTCTGAGAAGTACAGTCAGCTGTTTTTCAGAAAGGTGTTTGAGGACAAGTAATGTTCCACGAACCGCTGTAACAGGGATGTATGGTGTTATTTAGAAGCACAACTAATCCACGGCACAAAGGCAGGTTTTGTAGGATGTATTGTATGTGTACTGTAAGTTGGAGGGAGCTAAATGTTCTTGAGGGAGTTTAATCTCAAATGGCTAGGCAACGAGAGTCACGTACGATCTGGTGCAGACACTGTAAACCCACAACACAGTACTTGAGCCCAGTATAGTATTTTTCTATCACCCACAGAGTATTTAACCTTACACAGCCGCATCTCCAGTTAAACCCCTCAAATGATCATGATAATTCATTCTATTTGCATATAAGACACTTAAGACATCTCAAGGTTGTAGGAGGACATAATCATTTGCATGGCTAAACATCAGTTACACAACATTCAATATTACCTTATAAGGTCATAGATTGGATAACATAAACAATCCATCAATAAAGCAACAGACAGGACAGACAAAGCACATGTAATCCCTTTCAAAAGGAGAGTCAAAAAATCTCAATGAGTAACAAGTATGGGCACCATCCAGTGTCCTCAGCAGAACTTTGTCTGTATTCCTCCAGCTGGCTTGTATTACTATCGTTGAAGGCACCAGAAAACTCCATTAGTCCCCAGAAGGATAGTAACAATTATAAGTAAGGAAAATTATCCCTCATGGGGACATTACCCAGGTCCCCACAAGGATAAAGTCTATTTTAGGGTTAGAATTAGGGTTAAGGTTAGGGTTGGTTTAGGGGTTAGGGAAATTTTGAATGGAAATACATTTTAGGTTTGTGTGTGTGTGTGTGTGTGTGTGTGTGTGTGTGTGTGTGTGTGTGTGTGTGTGTGTGTGTGTGTGTGTGTGTGTGTGTGGCAGTGCTAATGCCAGCTCCTAGTGTTATACTGATCCATACACCTTTGAGTGCTGGTGTCCACCAGCCTCATACTACTGGGCTTGGAGATGACTGTGAAAAGCACTCAGGCTCCTCATATAAATAAATGACAAGCACTAGTAGTCCCTTTTCTCTCACCAAAATAAATCACAGTAGGCCTAGTCGATGCATTAAAATGCATTAAATAAGTTTTTCCATTCGTTCTGAATATAAATGGGTAATTTACACAAAGGTCATAATTGCGCATTGACAGTATTTGTTAGCCAAATAATTTACACAAAGGTCATAATTGCGCATTGACAGAATTTGTTCGCCTAATAATTGTATACAAAATAATTGACTATTCAAATAACTTACTTTCTCAGAAGTATTGGCATTAACGGTCAGAGGGTGATAACCGTAGTTCCATGTAGACCTAGGCTAACTGTTATCAAAACTCATCAAAAGCTGTCACACGCAAGGAACAAATAGTCCACAAAACTTAACAACAAATTTGAGAAAATGAATTTTTCACAGAGTGGATTTTTGTTAAGATTATAGAAGTAGGCCTACAGTTTCAGTCTCTCCAAGTGCCTCGTGCGTCTTTTGTCCTCCAGTGCGCAAGTCTGTATCCCGGTGCATACAAGGCGCGTACTGGGTTAAATGGGGATACCAGCTCAAGCCTTCTAACAGACAGGTACCCCGCCAGTCCCAGCCCAGCTTTACCACTCTTTCAACATCTCACAAGCAATTCATAACTGTCACTTGCGAGCAAGGGCGAGGTATGTGGTCAGGAGATCGCCGGGGAAGAAGCCGATTGGATATTTTGGAGCAAAGTTCTGAAGTATAAATAGAGCATCTTCATCTCTCAAGACTTCAGATACCTGATCGAACAGAAACTCGACCGATTGGTTTCACTCAATTGAACTTGTAGGCTACTGGAGACGCGTTTATTTTAAATATTTTGAACTTTGTATTTAGTTCAAACCTCAATAATCGGCGCAGACATTGAAAAATCAATATTTTTGGATCAATAAATAGGCTACATCCATTTTTCTCTCTAACATTTTCGTTGAAACCGGTACACGCTGGCGATGTGGTGGATGCTGTTTCCCCGGTGGATCTGGTTCTTGGTGGGGCAGTGCCTGGTTCTGTGGCTGGACCAGCGGGTCAGGGCCATGTCTGTATCCGGGGTAGCCTACTCCCATGCCGGCATCTGCCCCAACGAGATGAACCCCAACCTTTGGGTAGACGCCATGAGTACCTGCATGCGGGAGTGCGAATCTGACCAGGTGAGTGTTCCCTGTCATCACCTCCTACTCTACTCAGTGAGAAATAACATATATGATTGTTTTAATTCAAGTTATTAAATTATAGGTTTAAAAATAATTAATTCATGATGGAATATGAGTAATTTGTAATTTTATAGGATATATAATTCAAAAAGTACATTGCAATTTGTCACTCAACACCTGCTTTTCTATTAAATGAGAAGATAAACATTATTATTATTATTATTATTATTATTTTAATAAAAATATTTTTACAATTGCTTCTCTAACATGTTGAAATATTCTAGAGTAACCAATCCTTTTAATCCCTCTCCCTACAGGAGTGTGAGACGTTTGAGAAGTGTTGTCCCAACGTATGTGGGAACCAGAGCTGTGTGGCGGCACGCTACATGGACGTTAATGGGAAAAAGGGTCCAGTGGGCATGCCCAAAGAAGCTTCCTGTGCCAGCTTCATGTGCACCCAGCAGGGCTCTCAGTGTGACATATGGGAAGGCCAGCCTGTGTGTAAGTGCAGGGACCGCTGTGAGAGAGAACCTCACTTCACCTGCGCCTCCGACGGCATGACCTACTACAACAAATGCTACATGGATGCTGAGGCCTGCTCCAAGGGCATCTCCCTCTCTGTGGTCACCTGTCGCTTCCACCTCACCTGGCCCAACACCAGCCCCCCGTTGCCCCTGGAGACCACCCTTCGGCCAACCACAGCCCCCCTCCAGGAGAAGCCCCCACTCCCGACAGAATCCCCAGCCACCAGTCATGGCCAGCAGCTCATCACAACAGTTGGTTATCGTGGGAGACACAGCCAGCTTCCTGTGTGACGTCACGGGGCGCCCGCGGCCTGAGATTAGCTGGCAAAAGCAGCAGGTGGAGGGAGACGGAAGGGAGAGGGTTGTAATGAGGCCCAATCACGTGAGGGGGAATGTGGTGGTCACCAACATTGGCCAGCTGGTGATCTACAACGCCCAGCCTCAGGACTCTGGTGTCTACACCTGTACTGCAAACAACCCCTCTGGCTCGGCCTATGCCCACCATGCCCTCACTGTGGTGCCCAGGGATCCCCTGAGGAGAGAAGAGCCCAGGAACATGACCCGCTGCCCGGCCGAGGAGTGCCAGAGGCCCCCTGACACGGTGGAGGAGTGTGGCGGGAAGGAGAGGGTGAGCTGGTACTACGAGCCCAAAAGGAACAGCTGCTTCTCCTTCACACACGGCAGCTGTAACAGCAACAGGAAACCATTTGAGACGTATGAGGCGTGTATGTTGTGCTGTGGTCCGGAGGTGTCTGCCCCCTGTGGCCTGCCCAGCCTGCAGGGTCCCTGTAAGGCCTATGAGCCCCGCTGGGCCTACAGCAGCAGCCTGAGGCAGTGCCAGTCCTTCATCTACGGAGGCTGCAGTGGCAACGACAACAACTTTGAGTCCAGAGAGGCCTGTGAGGAGATGTGCCCCTTCCCTAAGAACCACCACTGTAAAACCTGCAAACCCAGAGGCAAGATGGTGACCAGCTTCTGTAAGAGTGACTTTGTGATCCTGGGGAGGTTGTCTGGACTGATGGAGGAGAGGGACTCGGGCCAAGCCCTAGTCACAGTGGAGGAGATCCTGAAGGATGAGAAGATGGGCCTCCGGTTCTTCGGCAAGGAGCCTCTGGAGGTGACCTTCATCAACATGGACTGGAACTGCCCATGTCCCAACATCAGCGAAGGTCAGGTCATCGTCATGGGAGACGTGAGGGACGGCATGGCCGTGCTGCAGCCGGACAGCTACGTGGGAGCGTCGAGCTCACGCCGGGTACGGAAGCTCAGAGAGGTCATCACTCAGAACACCTGTGACATTCTCAAAGAGTTCCCCGCCATTCAGTAGACCAGGGGGAGAGGGATGGGGACGCTTTGGTGACAGTCTGCACACACACATGCACACAATTTTTTTTATTTATCCTTTTTCCTACCCAAAAGATTGCATTCAATGCATTCAACAGAAGATGTCAAAGTTCAAAGCAGAAAGTAAATAAAAACCGAAAAATGTAACACAGCTCTGTACATAATGTACCTTGCTTGGAGAGTTTCACTTGAACAAAACGTTCTTAAAGCACCCTGCCAACCTGTCTATTTTGCCCAATGCTCTCTGTTGTGGTCTGACTGTTGGCTTCTAATTGAAAAACCATGTATCAGGACAGAGGAGACATTCATCAAACCCTCTAGTTGTCTAATTCCCTCTAGACTCATGACTTTTCCCCCTCTGCCTCTCCTTGTGCATCTAGAAATCGACCAAGCAGACTTTGCTCTTTTGAAGCACTGCACAGAAACAAAATGTTCTGATGTTTGTGTATATAATTTACTTCAAGATTTTTTTATTTTTTTATTTTTTATGTTTGTTTTTATGTTATTGATATTTCACTGTGGATGATAAAGCTTTTTCCTTACCTCTCTGGTAGAACCGATGACAGTATGTCTGTGTAATATACTGTATGATTAAGTTTTGTCAGTGCACTTGGACAAGTTGTAATATATTCTCTCAATGGTTGATTGCTACATTTTCCAAAAATCAGAATGATCTATTAACAATAAAGCATGTTAATGCTTCCTTTTGATATGTTGCTATTTATTGTACCATAAGCTTTTTGCTCTGCTGTTGACTTGCTTTTATACTTATTCCCAAAGCACATTATCTTCATTTGTTTTCTTGTTGGAACATATGTTCCTTGTTTGTCTTTTGTGTAATATTTTATGATGTCTTGTATAAGTTCAAACAGGGATATCCATATCCCTGAGTTGTAATGTAAATTTATAATAAAATATACTTTGATATTTTAGTTTGTCAACAACTGTTTCATAAAAATAAAGAAATTACTGGAATATACCGCAGGAAGTAAAGAGGAATATTACAGGAGAGTATGAGGAAATACCGTCACACATTTCAGCTATAACTACACTGAACAAAAATATAAACGCAACATGTAAAGTGTTGGTCCCATGTTTCATGAGCTGAAATAAAAGATCCCCGAAATTGTCCATATGCACAAAAAGCTTATTTCTCTCAAATGTTGTGCACAAATTTGTTTACATCCCTGTTAGTAAGCATTTCTCCTTTGCCAAGATAATCCATCCACCTGACAGGTGTGGCATATCAAGAAGCTGATTAAACAGCATGATCATTACACAGGTGGACCTTGTGCTGGGGACAATAAAAGGCCACTCTAAAATGTGCAGTTTTGTCACACAACACAATGCCATTTCTGTCTGTAATAAAGCCCTTTTGTGGGGAAAAACTCATTCTGATTGGCTGGGCCTGGCTCCCCAGTGGGTGGGCCTATGCCCTCCCAGGCCCACCCAAGGCTGTGCCCCTGCCCAGTCATGTGAAATCCATAGATTAGGGCCTAATGAATTTATTTCAATTGACTGATTCCATTAACTTTGACTCAGTAAAATCGTTTAAATTGTTGCATGTTGCGTTTATACTTTTGTTCAGTATATATACACTACCAGTCAAAACTTTGGACACACCTACTCATTCAAGGGTTTTTCTTTATTTTTACTATTTTTTACATTGTAGAATAATAGTGAAGACATCAAAACTATGAAATAACACATATACAATCATGTAGTAAAAGAAAAATTATTTAACAAATCAAAATATATTTTATGTTTGAGATTCTTCAGTGGCCACCCTTTGCCTTGATGACAGCTTTGCATACTCTTGGCATTCTCTCAACCAGCTTCATGAGGTAGTCACCTGGAATACATTTCAATTAACAGGTGTGCCTTCTTAAAAGTTAATTTGTGGAATTTCTTTCCTTCTTAATGCGTTTGAGCCAATCAGTTGTGTTGTGACAAGGTAGCCCTATTTGGTAAAAGACCAAGCCCATATTATGGCAAGAACAGCTCAAATAAGCAAAGAGAAACGACAGTCCATCATTACTTTAAGACATGAAGGTCAGTCAATAAGCTACATTTCAAGAACTTTGAACGTTTCTTCAAGTGCAGTCGCAAAAACCATCAAGCGCTATGATGAAACTGGCTCTCATGAGGACCGCCACAGGAATGGAAGACCCAGAGTTACCTCTGCTGCAGAGGATAAGTTCATTGGAGTTACCAGCCTCAGATTGCAGCCCAAATAAATGCTTCACAGAGTTCAAGTCACAGACACATCTCAACATCAACTGTTCAGAGGGGACTGTGTGAATCAGGCCTTCATGGTCGAATTGCTGCAAAGAAACCACTACTAAAGGACACCAATAATAATAAGAGACCTGTTTGGGCCAAGAAACACGAGCAATAGACATTAGACCGGTGGAAATGTGTCCTTTGGTCTGGAGTCCAAATTGGAGATTTTTGGTTCCAACCGCCGTGTCTTTGTGAGACGCGTTGTGGGTGAATGGATGATCTCTGCATGTGTAGTTCCCACCGTAAAGCATGGAGGAAGAGGTGTTATGGTGTGGGGGTGCTTTGCTGGTGACACTGTCTGTGATTTATTTAGAATTCAAGGCACACTTAACCAGCATGAATACAACAGCATTCTACAGCGAAAAGCCATCCCATCTGGTTTGGGCTTAGTGGGACTATCATTTGTTTTTCAACAGGACAATGACCCAACACACCTCCAGGCTGTGTAAGGGCTATTTTACCAAGAAGGAGAGTGATGGAGTGCTGCATCAGATGACCTGGCCTCCACAATCCCCTGACCTCAACCCAATTGAGATGGTTTGGAATGAGTCGGACGGCAGAGTGAAGAAAAAGCAGCCAACAAGTGCTCAGCATATGTGGGAACTCCTTCAAGACTGTTGGAAAAGCATTCCAGGTGACGCTGGTTGAGAGAATACCAAGAGTGTGCAAAGCTGTCATCAAGGCAAAGGGTGGCTATTTGAAGAATCTCAAATATAAAATATATTTTTATTTGTTTCACACTTTTTTGGTTACTACATGATTCGATATGTGTTATTTCATAGTTTTGATGTCTTCACTATTATTCTACAATGTAGAAAATAGTGAAAATAAAGAAAAACCCTTGAATGAGTAGGTGTCCAAACTTTTGACAGGTACTGTATATACCGCCACATGCATACATTGTAAAGGTGAAAGGAGGTAGCAGTAAGACCCTGGTACAGCATTTCTCTAGTTGTTTCTTCTCCACCTCGATGAGCCACGCAGACTGTAAAGTAACAGAGACCATACGTGCATCTATATCTAGTAAAAGTGCTGTACCTGGGTGGTTTGTCTGACAGGAGTGATGAAAGAGAGAGGGGAATAGCGTGTCCCCAGCCCACCCTGGTCGCCCCCCTCTCTCTCCTCGCTCCTCTCCTTCGCCCCTCTTTCTCCCCTCTTTCCTTGACTCCCACCCTCCCCCCTCAAACACACACACAGCCCCCAGTGGCATAGTAAAAACTCCACCGTGTTTTGTTTTGCCTCTCCAATTCCTGTGTAATTGGGTAGAGCAGCTAAGCCGTAAACCTCAGGTCCCCTCCCATTCAGGAGTTATGCCTTTCAAGGTCTGCCAGAAGCCTGTTCTGGGCCTGGGGTTCGACAAGGGTGTTCCTCCACTGCTGCCTGCCTCTGGTTCTCCCATCTCAGCTCTGAGCCCAGGGAGGGAGGGAAGCAGTAGATAACCCCAGGTATGGTGCTCCATTACAGGCTGAACCACTTGGGACCTCAGGCCTACCGTGGAACTGCTTTTGTTTGTTTAGAGAAGGACAAGTAGAAGGTGAGCTTTAGAGCTATCTGTCAGGAAGATAATGCAGGATATATTACCTGTTGCTTTCTTTCATTCTCACCATTGACATAGTAAAACATTGATATTATTTGAGCTGTATTGTGGTTCCTTCTGTAATTGTTCTGCACACTATTCACAGCCCACTCAAAGAGATGGGATTGAACCAGCAGCATTGCAGGACAAGCATATTTCCTGATGTTCTGTGCCATAAAGGTCCAGACCTCTCTACAAAGGCTGTAGTAGACTTACATAGACCCAGTCTGTACGCATTGCTGTTGGAATTCGGATTTACCACAATTTTGACAGAACTGGGCAACCAATGTTTTTGATGAGTGTGTTTGCTCAAAAACAGTTGTGCAATGGTTCTAGCGAAACTAAATTAAACTATTTTTCAAAATGTCACAAAGAAACATTAACATTTGCTTATTGATTTTTGTGTGTGCGTGCGTGTGTGTGAAATTCACGCTTGACTGAGCTTGTATATGTTGTGATATACAGTGTGCCTCTGTAACCTTTTCACTCATCATTATTCACGATTCATTCAGGACTATCCGTAATCATGGTAGCATCCACATGAATGTAGAAGTGTTTAGAAACATATTCTATTCTTATTTACAATAAGAGTGACTCCAAAAGGACACAATACAGTATTTCCCATCCATTTCTATTGGGCACAAAATAATCTGAAACACAACCAAAACAAATAACAAATGCATCCAACAAGTTTGTAGAGTCACAAACTTGATGTAATCATTGTGTGCTAGGAATATGGGACCAAATACTAAACTTTTGACTACTTTAATACACGTAAGTGAATTTGTCCCAATACTTTTGGTCCCCTAAAATGGGGGGACTATGTACAAAAAGTGGTGTAATTTATAAACGGTTCACCCGATATGGATAAAAATACCCTCAAATTAAAGCTGACAGTCTGGCAGTCTGCACTTTTTGTATCATTTCAAATCCAAAGTGCTGGAATACAGAGCCCAAACAACAAAAAATGTGTCACTGTCCCCATACTTTTGGAGCTCACAGTAATTAGCCAGCATTTCCTCAAGAGCGAGTCGGTACTCTGTAGTGACAGACGGCAGCTTTCTGTACAGAGCTCAGTTCCTTGCTCAAGGGCACATCTACAGATTTTCACCTTTTCAGCTTAG